GGGAGCCCCCGGAACGTGGCCACGGCGCAGGTGAGGGGAGGCCACCTGGGGCCCCGGGGGCGACCGGAGGGCGTCCGAAAGGCTGAGGGCACAGGGCTTGGAGGGGCCTCCCCTGGAGGAGGAGGAGGAGCTGGACCTGCAGCCTTCTCCGTGTCCCTAAGTGCGGAGCGGGCCTGGCCACCACGGGCGGCCTTGAGTGTCCAGCCTTGGCGGGGCTTCGGGGCCCGGGGGCGGCAGGATCTGACCCGGATCCTCCCACTCCCGGCCAGTGGGGCAGGCGAGGCCGGGATGGGGCAGGTGCCGGGAAGAATTTGGAGGTCCAGGGGTGGAGAAGTGGGGGGCGGGGAGGGGGCGAGCACTCGGGCCCTGTGCTGGCCGAGCGGGGGCAGAGGCGAGGCCGGGGAGGCCGGAGGGAAACGGCCAAGGGGGGTGGGGGGCCTGGGGCGGGGCGGGGCCGGCCTTTGCAGGTACGGTGGAGGCGCTGAAGCGGTGGGTGGGTCAAGTTACAGGTTGGGGGCGGTGGAGCAGCCCAGGAAGTGGGGCAGGGTGGGTGTGGGCGGAGTTAGTGCGGGTGGGGGTGGTTAGGAGCGCCCAGCGATGTTTGCAGGGGTCGCATGAGGTCAGGACTCAGAGCGGTGGGGCCCAGGCTTAGATCTGGGGGAGTCCAGGTAAGGAGAAGGGGGGGCCCCTCAGGAGTGGAGGAGAAGCAGTGACTTTTGGGGGGCCAGGCAGCTGATGGCAGTGTGGGGGCCGGGGCTGGAGGGGACAGTGCGATCAGAAGGGCGCATGCCAAGGTGTGGTCAGTGACGGGGTGTTATACTCGAAGCCAAACCTGGGGAGGGCTCGTCTTAACCAAATCCCATCCCTCAAGCCTCTGGGTGCCTAGCCTGGCTCTCGGGCAAGCCCCTACTGGCTTTTCCCAGGCATTGGCCGGCCAGATGGGTGTTTGTGTGGGCAGCTCGGAGAAACAGCCTGGAACACCTAGCTCAGGCATCTTGTTTACCTCTGGAGTGGCCATCGCCCACCCCTGCCCATATATGTGCAGGGAGACGGCCAAGCAGGCATCACCTGGACATTTTAGGGTCCTGGATTCTTTTCCCCACTTTGGGTAACAAGACTTTGAAGCTCAAGTTTAGGGAAGGGGATCTAGCACCCTCTTTTGTGGTTACTATCTTACCCAGATCCCTGAGCTCTTAAGGGGTCTCCTGCCCCATAGGTGAATCTGAAAGCTGAGCATAGGAGGCTCTATCTAGGAGCCTTCTGGTGAGCTGAAGGCAGATGAGAGAGCAGGGTACCGCCACACCAGCTCCAACCTCTTGGGGGCTGCCCAGTGCTGGATCGCTGCTCTGGGGTGCTCATCCTGGGCTGAATCTGCTCGTCCCTTGGGTGACCTCACCAATTGCTCACCACCAGCTGAGCTCAGGCCTTCTCTATGGGACGGATGAGGAAGCAGGGACTCAGAACGTGGTGTGGCATGGCTTGCCCCAAGTCACATGGCTAGCCCGGGCAGAGCTGATAGAACTTAAACCTAAACCCGGATCTTCCCCTGAGCTCTCCTCACTATCCCCAAGTTGGCCTTTAGAATTGCTTGGAAGAACCTTCCCCCAGGTCCCCAAGAGGGGTTAAGGGATCATGGATAACAGCTGTGGGAGGGCATTTATGAAAATGAGGCTTGATTCCACCTGGTTGGGCCAGGCTGACTTGTACCTCCTTTGGTCTCCCCCTTAGACTACCCAATTTAGTTTCCCTCCTGTCTGGTTTAATTGCAAGGCTGTTACTAGGGTGTCCTCAGAAAGTTGATTTGGGCTCCTAGGCACCCTGAGGCAGGGTTCACATTCTGACCGTAGTAGTATCAGTCAGATCTGGGTTTAATGATGGGTTACCTAATTCCTCCCAGTTCCCCCAAAAGGCCCCAGCACCCAGATCAGCCCTCCCCTCCTCCCTTCTCTGGCTGTAGGGGGAGGGGTAGGCACTCAGCCCGCATCCTCCAAAGAGACCTTCTTCTCTGCCTGGTTGGACCGAACTTCTTGCTGGGGCTGCTTGGTACAGACCAGAGCCTCATCCAGCTCTCTGCTCAGGAGTGAGACTGGAGTAGGATCTTGTAACACCTCTGAAATACAGTATCAGTAGGAGCCTCAGCAGCATGAGACTAGAGCTTGAAGTCGAGCAGCAGCAGAGAAATGGGCTGGCTGAACAGGGCCTAGGCCTGGGCACCCAAGACATAGGTCTGAGCCAGTGTAGGTCTGAGCCAGTGTCCGGAGCTGCAGGAGTGATAGGATAGATGAGCGGATGCCACTGCAAGTGAAGCACTATTTTATTCACAACTGGTGTCAGTTTCCTGCTCAACTTATTCTCAAGTAATTCTCTTGTGAAGGTGATCAACATTAGACAATTAAGATCCTTTAACGATATTCTGACTTTTGTGAAGGAAATGGAGCTGGGTGGAAGGAGAGTGAATGACTTAGGGGTGGGGTGGAGCATTTTTAAGTGGTTTGGCTGGAGGAGAGCTTTGAGCTGAGGTCTGAATAACAATAAGAAATCTGACTTTGGGAGTAGGGCTGGGAGGCCTACTCCCTGCCCAAAAGGTGACACTTAATAGATGCCAGACTTGCTAATTGCTGTATGCATCCAGAGTGAAAGATGATCACTTTGTAGAGAAAGCAGAGACCCTCGTCCATTCACAGTAAAGAATCATCCTGTCCCGCGGTCTCCTTGGGCCTCCCCATCGCCTCCCGAGTAAAGCTCAAATCCCTTGGCCTGAATCAGAGGTGTTTTAAAACCTGTCCTCAAGCCTAGGCAGAGGGACCTGCACAGGTTCTCACACAGAGCTGTGAGGAGATCAGGGGTTTTTTTTGTCAGTCACACAGGACCCATTGTGTGAGTTGGCCTGGACCTGGGGATTGGGGAGGAGGGAGTTGTGAGGTTGGCATAGAGAGCACTTTGCCGCTGATTTACCATTGTCATTGCCACAGAGCCTGCTAGGCCCGCCTGAGGCCTGCTTCAGGTGAAAGGATAGTGAGCTAGGCCTGGGGCCCAGGACTGAAAGCACAGGGGCTGCACTCCTGCTGTCACATTTCTCTCTCCTAGGCCATCTTTGCTCCACATCCTCCTTGTCTCCCTTCTAGGGTTCCAGGCTGCTCTTAGTGCTATTGCATTTTATTTTATTTTCAGTCAATATTCATTTGAGCATCTTCTCTCCCCCATCCACCCCAAAGAGCTAGATCCCTGCCTGCTGTGGGCATCATTTAACATGTAAGGAAACTGAGGCACATAGTAGTCCTTCCCTCTAGAAGGTCACTGCCTCATTCCTCAGG